TCGCATGGACACAAAACTATTTGAAATAAGATCTAAGACGCCAAAGGACAGTTCTTGATTTATAACATTTTTATTTGATTTTTTTAACAAACGATGTTTAGTAAAAATACTAGCTTTATGCAAATCATTTATATCATACAGAAGTCTTCTAAGAAGATAAATAGAAGATATGATTTTAATAAAACTTTAAAGATTTGATTTAGACAGTCTTTTAATTTTAAAAGATCTAATTTAAACTTTTAAGATTATACTTTTAAATGAATTTAATTTGAATAAACCTCTGAAAAGCAGACTAGCATTGCATACGCTGTGACATAATTGTGCCCCAGAGGCTCATCTGGCCTGTAACTCCTCCGTCTCTGTGCGGGTCTGAAGCTTCATCTCACCCAGTAGTTTATCACTGAAGGATCTGGGAGGGCTTTGTTTGTTTATCACAACTTAAACTATTTGCTTTTTGGATTGTTTTTTATCATTGCATAGATCTAGATTCTACTACTTCTTCAGTTCTATGAAAATGTAAGGAGTTTTTTATAATTATCGATGTAATTTATATATATATTTATATTTATAAATATATTAATTAAGATAAAACTATATTTAATTTGTATGAATACATTTTAGTAGCATATGTGTTATTATTCATTGAGTTATATACTTTATTTATTATAATTTAATTTTAAAATAGAGATTTTATGGAGCCGCAAAACAGCTTAGAAATTATATTAAACTACTTATTTATTTATTTTGAAAATGTAAAAATGCAGTTTTCTGTGATGTTCGTGTTTTAGGTGTACACGGTAGAATATGCTGTTACAGTACAAAAATCATTACGGCTATATTAATAAAAATTAAACAAAATCCTTACAGTAATCTTCTAAAAGATAAATAGAAGATACGAATGTATTAAAACTATAAAGACTTCATTTCAACCATCTTTTCATTTTAAAATATTTAAACTTTTACGATTATGATTTGAAATAATCTTAGTACGAACAAAATTTTGGCTCTGGAAAGGTGTTAGCAGACTAACATTACACGATGCACAGAGACTCATCTGCTCTGTCACCCTATATCCTGAAGCTAATGGGGGCTGGCCTGAGGCATCACAGATACTAAATGTCTTCATTGGTGCTCTCGCACTAAAGATAGGCCTATGTGGTGATTTTCGCACAGATACTACTTGAGGAATTATTGAACATTTCACACAATGTGTGAGATGACTTGTGAGAGCCCAAAAAACTCAAAGTTCTTTACATGTACCCTGATAAATAAAAAATATAGTCAAGTTTTTCCACGATGTAGCATATTTGTTTTATGAATTAATTTAATTTAAAATATCTTGTATTTTTAAAAGATATAATTTAAACTTTTAATGATTATACTATGAAATAAGATTAACACTAATCGAACACATGCAATGTCTCGTTCTGACCGCTGAAAAGACACACACACACACACACACACACACACACACACAGCATGCCTGTCAAGCGAGGGGGAGAGACAATTACTTGTGCGATCTTTTCAACTTTAAATGTATGTACATCTTAGGAACTACTTCGTCAACCGGCTGAAAAAAGTAAGATGATTTTATTTTTGACACCCGTTCATAACCTGTATGTATTCTTCTAATCTATAAAACATGTCGGATGATTTTTATCTAAAATAATAACTTTATTTATTTAAAAAATGAAACGATAAAAGCATTTTATTAATATATACTTTTAAATGAAGAATGTTGTTCAACTTAAGTTAGTGTGAAATAATATATTTGTAAATTACTAGATGTAAATTTTAACCATTTCATTTATATAGAGCATGATGTTTTTCAACTTTAGTGTGAAATATATGATACATATTGTCCTCACTTGGAGGGGTCTCATGTAACACACACACACACACACACACACACACACACACACACACAGATAAGCGTGCCCCCGTGACTTAGAGGTTTTCAGGATTCAGAGAGGTCTAAAGTAATTTATTGCCGATGATATCACCCATTTCTTACACATACACACATAGACACACACACACACACACACCACTCCGGTCAAGCGTGGGGAGAGAGAATCACTGGGGGACAACTTTAGACTCATCTTTTACATCTTTTGTAAACCATTCATATTGTATGGACACCTTAGGAACTACTTCTTCAACTCGGTGAAAAAGTAAGATGGTTTTATTTTGTGAACCGTTAGCAACCTGTATGTTTTCTTCTAATCTATAAAACAAGCCAGATGATTTTTTTATAAAATAATTGGATCAGTACATTTAGTTATTTATTTTACAATGTATGAGAAAAGCATTTTATTTATTTGTTTATCTAAAATAATTGGTTTGGTGTGAAATATTTGTAATTTCATTTATATCAATTAAAAAAAGAACTGAATGGTTTCAACTCTAGCCAGTGTGAGATATTTTCTCACTGTCCCAGCAAGAGTGCAGGAATGGGATGGACTCTCACTCACTCACACACACACACACACACACACACACACACACACACACACACACACACACGCACACGCACACACACACACACACACACACACACACACACACACATAGAAGACTAAAAGGTGCTGGTCAGCCACAGACTCGCTGTGAGAGAGAAAAACAATCTGGGATCTTTAAATGATTCAACATCTTGGGACAGCTGGGAAAGTAAGATGGTTTTATTTTTTGTCACCCGTTAGCAACCTGTATGTTTTCTTCTAATCTATAAAACATAAGGGGTGATTTTTTTTTTAATCTAAAATAATTGGATCAGTACATTTAGTTATTTATTTACAATGAAAGATAAAAGCATTTTATTTATTTGTTTATCTAAAATAATTGGATCAGTACATTTTAGTTATTTATTTTACAATGAATGATAAAAGCATTTCATTTATATACTTTTAAATGAACCATGGTTTCTATATTATATATTAAATAATAATATTCTAATATTCTATATATAATAAATGATTATACACCCACATCAAAGACAACCGGCATACCCCGGATCAAAGACAACTGTCAAAATAAATAATTATACCCACAGATCAAAGACAACTGGCATACCCCGGATCAAAGACAACTGTCAACTTGATCGATCGATAGGTCAAAGGGTCATCCCTAGATCAGAGGGACCTCCGGAACACACTCCGGAAGGTCAAAGGTTAGCCCTGCCCACCTGTCAATCATAGGGTCATAAATCATCTTGACAGAAGCCGTAGGGTATATCTACTCACGAACGCCATTCACACAGTTCAGAAGTTCACTGAACTTCATACAGTTCAGCTCACTTAGCACGTCGTTCGTGGTTTGACTAGTCGAGACTGTTTTCCAAAGATGGCTCCTGTCTGTATACACGAAGTGGACTGTCTTTATCTTTATCTTCTTATTAAACGGTCTGTACACTTACAAAGTTCTCAATGCGTCGTTTTGCATGTAGGGACCCTCATTATGTTACTGTGTTAGTGTGGGGCTATTTTGAGCCTTGTTAGTGGTATTAACTAGTGATTTATTTTTACTTATTAAATGCCCCCATTACTAGCGTTATACGCTAAACAGTTTTTTAGAGATAAAACTCTTTACATTCGATTATCATGAAAACAAATCTCAGAGAACGGTTGACTAGGTACCAATGTTTTATTAGACCAAAGGTTCATTTTGCGCCGGAGTTCTCCTTTAATAAACCATAATGTTTTTATCGCCCTGCAACATGATGGCGCGACTCGCTACAACAAGATCTGGGACACAATTGGATGGGGCTCGCCCAGGATCTCTTCGCTGACCACCTTTGGCCGGCGAAGACAGACCGATTCTGGATTCTGGAATGTTTTTATTACCTTAGAATGAGACATGTATCTACATAACCGCGGGCACCCCCTTCTATGAAGGTCGACATGTTGTGACGTCATGTTTCTACCGTAGCCGACAGCGAACACACAGCGCTACAGAGCGCGTTTCGTCACTACCTTGAAAGAGAAGCCGCAGAAAGCTAGAAGCTAGCCATAAACACCGTGAGTAGTGACTTTCCCCTTGTCAGTGGTGTAAAATATGTAGTTGGATTGTTTCATGTAACTTAATTCTTCTCCCTCGCTGTGTTATGGCTTTGCTATGTGGGGATAAATGTGCTGGTTACGTTCGTGAGACGGCTGATTAGTACTCCTGTCATTGACCGTAAAACAGTAACGTTACAGGAATCACCAACCCGTCGATCGCAGTCGACAAGTCCATCTTGTAAGCATTTTAAGTCGATCGCTTAGAGTTTTCAAAATCAGTGAAAAAAAGCCTATTGTGTGTAGTAAGTGGTGTCTAGGGGATGCGGAGGCGCGCGCTGTTACAATCATGTCATTTTTGCCGCGCGCACCTTTGGGCTCATGCGGACGCGTCGAGTTTAAACAAGGATTTACGCTTTAACCAGCTGAGCCACAGTAACAGCTCATATTAGCCAGCTAAACTTTTACTACCCTGTTAGAAAAAATATATAGTTGCATAGTTTCATGTGGTTCTTCTCCCTCGCTGTATTATGGGTTTGCTATGTGTGCTGGTTACGTTTGTGAGACAATTAGCTGATTACTAATATTATATTATATATTAAGACTCTTGATCCTCACCTGACTATGGCTTTGTAAACTTTATCCATGATGTGGTTTATAATGGAATACAGAAACAGTGACGTACACTCTTGGCTTACTCTAGCTATTCTCTTCTGTCTCAGACGATGATGTTTGTCCCGTTTTAGCCACCGTAGCTTCTCTGAAAGGGAGGGGTGAGCAGTGGGCGGAGCTATTAGTGCAACTCGCAACCGAACCGCTAGATGCCGCTAAAAATCACACACTGCACCTTTAATGAATAATCTGTTATAATGTATTTTTTTTGGTCTGCTTACATACTTTATCTGTTTTTTTAATGTTTTATATAATGTTTTTGTCTTGTTCATGCTGATGTAACGTCTACATTTCCAATAAAGTCTGATCTATTCTTCTGTCTTGCACACGCAGGTCTCACAGAATCCCTTTCAGAGATGATCCTGTGCAGTCAGATGAGTTTTGCCGTGTTGTTCTGCATACTGTGGCTCGCCTCTCCTGCCGTCCTGCGCTCCGAATTCAAGGTGGCCTACGTGACCGAGCGCAACGTGTACATGTGCACGTGTGCGCAGGACCTGGGCTTCTGTGAGAAGATGAACTCCAGCGAGTGCAACAACTGTAAGGATCAGTCGTCAGTGTTGCAAAGGGCCGAGAACCCCAGTCCGGTTCAGAAGAAGCGCCTGACGGTGTGGTACACCTCGCCTCTGAACGTGGCCCTCCTGCTCAACAACTCGGAGGTCCGGCACCTGTCGCTGGTCCAGTGCAAACCCGCCGACGACCAGCCCGTCCCGGTTGAGTACTTCACAGTGCAGCGTTTGGAGACGCTAACGGTCACATACCCGTTCTGGAGGCCCGGACAGAGTCACGACGTCTTCATAGGGAAAGACAGGGACGCTCCGTATCAAGAGGAGGCGAGGATCGCTGTCATTCATACCTCTGTGTTGACCGGGAAATCCGAGCTGAAGTCGTACACAGTCCAGACCAAAGTGGATCGCAGAGGCATGATGCCCTTCCCCGACATTTTTATGTCTCGCGTCGTGCTTTCGGAGATGAGGATATTCGTCACTTTTCTGTATTGAGAGAGGCATTTTTCTGAGAGTGATTTTAAAGTCCCCCAGTGGTGAAAATCCAGCGTTTAATGTTGTTTATGTCTATGTGGTGTTTTAATGTGCTTTAAGACAAACCATGTGAAAAGTCATAAGTCGACAGCATTGCTGAGTATTTTCTCCTTAAAAAACACGGGTTTGAAATCAGATCAACGTGTGATCGTCAACCAGTGGATCTCTGAGCTGAGTGAGTGAGTGGAGGCGGGGCTCATTTACATATTCATAGAACCGCTTATACTAAATATATTAAGGTTGTCGAGTTACATTCAAGGAAAAAACATTTAAAAATGTCATTTTGATTCTCAAAGATGAGTTTTAAGGGATAAAATGATTGACTACAGGGGGACTTTCAATGCTTCATTGTACTGTAGATGTAACACAGTTGTTGCTGTCAATATAACACAAATAGCTGTGCATAATTAGTAATATATATACAGTTGTGGCCAAAAGTGATGTCCGGAGGGGATATTTGTTTTTAATGACCCTACAAGTTTGATTAAACCATCAAAATATGAGGAAAATATTTTCAGAATGAGGGAAGAAAAAAACACTTAATTTGGTTAAGGTATTTATCACACACAAGTATTTGGCAAAAAAGGGAAACTACAGCTACAGGTTTTATTTTACTATGGAAAAATGCATAGAAAAACAAAAAAGCTCACAGGAAAATTGACTACAGCATAATCAGTTATTTTGTTGGTTCTCCTTTTGTTTCTGTCAGCCTGGCCAGATCCGTACAATTTGGCATGTTTTTTGTGTTGTCATCACAAATAAAACAATCAACTCCAAGCACAACTACGCAATATGCTTACAAAATCTTTAACACATTTTGAATAATATTTTAATAAAGGCACTGTCGGTTTTCCTATAGGCCAGAAATCACTTTTGGCCAATACTGTACATAATACAATTACATTGTATGAATAATTATTACATAAATTTCAAACACCAAATTCTTCCTTTCAGAATCAAACATTATACAAACTTTATTATGATAAAAAACAAAAACAAAGTCAGAACGAGTATTGCAATTTGGGCTTTGCACATGCACTGCTGTTTTATTGAGGATGTAATTCAATGATTTGTATTTACAATAATTATGAAATAGAATAATATTGTAATTTTTAAAAAATGTATTTATATAATAAAAAAATACCAAAGATCTGTGTGCTGCTGTTGTGCAGGGGGAACTACAAAGTAAAAACTAAATCATCTTCAGAAACAACACACAATGCTCCACAACTACACCAAATCATCTCAAAACAAATCCTGCATAGTTTTATAAAACTTAAAATCAATCAAAACTCTTGATCTAACCAACATTAAAAAACCTAAGTGATGCTGTCCTAAAATAAAATTCAGCAATTGACACACATTCCTCTTGTTCCGACTATATCTCACCCCCAGAATAAAAGTTCTTTTCAGAAAAACACTCTTTACAACATCTGAATATTTCTTTTAATAACCTAAATAATCGTTCTAATCTAGAACATTGCATAAAAGCATGAAAAACTGTTTCTCTTTGAGAACAAAAGGGACATTCCGAACTAACTTCTGGATTTAAAACAGAAATAAAAGAGTTTACAGCAATGATACCGTGAAGGATTCTCCACTGTAAATCCCCTGCCCTCTTCGATAATGACGGCTTATACAGAGATCTCCACTCAGGTTTTACATTTTCATCCAGCCCCAGAAAAGAACGCCATGGTGTATCAACCTTTCTTTCAAAGCATATCTTATTAAAAACCATAACACAAGCTCTATACAAAAAATTACCTTTAGTTGTCAATAAGTCCAACCACAATGATTGCCAATTCCTTAAAATAAGACCTGTACACTCATCAAGATTAGGTAGAAACTTCAGACAAGGAAAAAAATCCTGAGCATTGGGAGTGCTTTTCCCAGAGTGATAATATTTTAACATTTGGTTCTCTTCATCTGTGAGAACTGATCTCAGTTTAAACAAAAAACAAGAAACACAACGAACAGATTTAATACCCAAAAATTGGGATGTCATCTCTGCGTTCTCCAAATTTGAGCCAGCCAATGTCAACATCTGTCCTAAAGTGACAGTCCTGGATTTTTGGAGAGCAGAACTAAACCCATGTAAATTTCCATTGTTCGCTATATCCAGACGTGCTCCAAGTAATAAGGGTTCCTCTAGCAGCCAATGAAGTGAGTATGTGCTTTCAGTCTTTTGAATGTGAAACAAACTCCACACTTTAAAAAGGTTTTTATAGAAGTACAGCATCTTTGAAAAGTCCATTTTTAAAGGGTTCATCAAAAAAAGGTGTTTATCCAACCCAAAACCTCCAAACTGTTGCAATATGGCACAGGCAACAGCCCTCCAACTCACATCAGATGCACCATCAAAAAATCTCTGTAAAAACTGCAACCGTACTCGGTTCTGCTTTGTAAGTTCATGAGTCCTTGTCCTCCTTCTTCCTTGGGCAGGAATAAAACACTCTGTTGTACCCAATGTAATTTGTCCCAGAAAAAGTCCACAAGAACAGCTTGAATTTTCGCTAAAAGTTGCTTTGGAGGATCCACACAAGCCAACCTGTGCCACAGGGAGGATGCAACAAGATTATTTACAATATGAGTACGTCCTCTGTAAGACATATTTGGAATCAACCATTTCCATTTTTCCAGATGCCCCTTAATCTTTTCACCCACCCCTTCCAAATTTTTCTGTCGAGTTACATCATCACCCAAAAAAACACCTAGATATTTTATCCCACTTCTACCCACAAATTAACCCATCAGGAAGGTTTGGTTTGCCATCAAACCACTGACCAACCAACAGTGTCTCACATTTTGTCCAATTTACTTTAGCAGAGGATAACAACATAAAATCTTTAATTAATTTAAGTAAAATTTGTACATCATTTTGTCCACTAATTAAAACCATCACATCATCAGCATAAGCTGACAGAACAATGTTATTTTTACAATTGGGTAAACATAAGCCACACACCTTTTTTCTTATTTGTTGTAACAATGGTTCAATGGCCAAAGAATACAGCATCCCAGATAAAGAACACCCTTGTCTTATCCCTCTTTGAACCTGGAAGGGAGCGCATAAGCCGCCATTTATCTTCAGTACACTCTCAACTTCACTATAGAGTACTTTGACCTTATCTATAAAATCTTGACTAAAACCAAAGGCCCTCATAGTCCCCCACAAATATGAATGTTCGACTCGGTCAAAGGCTTTCTCTTGATCCAGAGAAATCAAGCCAACGTCCAACTTTGACAATTTTGAAACTTCTAATACATCACGAATTAAAGAAATGTTATCAAACATAGATCTACTACGAACACAATAGGTCTGGTCCGGATGGATGACCTGGTCCAACACTCCAGCCAGTCTGTTAGCTAAAGCCTTGGAGAGCAGCTTGTAATCGCTGCACAGAAGTGAGACGGGGCGCCAGCTCTTTATTTCAGTGAGATCTCTTTTTTTTTGGTATGAGGCTGATTATCGCCCTGCGACAACTCAACGGCGTCATACCTTCCGACAAGCTGTCATTCAATACCTGTAATATATCCACTCCCAGCTCCTTCCAGAATGATTTGTAAAAATCAACTGGGAGACCATCAATTCCTGGAGCCCTCCCAGACTCCATGCCTTGAAGGGCCTTATACAGCTCTCCCAAACTCAACACACCTGAAAGGGCTGCATTACCCTCTTCAGACATCTGGGTAGTGATGGGGACGAGACCGCCTATGCCGAGTCCGAGTCAAGACCGAGTCTTTGAAGGGTCGAGTCTGAGTCGAGACCGAGTCCATTGGTTTTCAAATACAGTCGAGTCCGAGTCAAGACCGAGTCTTTGAAGGGTCGAGTCCGAGTCGAGACCGAGTCCGTTGTTTTTCAAATACAGTCGAGTCCGAGTCAAGACCGAGTCTTTGAGGAAGCAAGTCCGAGTCGAGATTTTGTTTGAGGAAGCAAGTCCGAGTCGAGATTTTGTTTGAGGAAGCAAGTCCGAGTCGAGATTTTGTCTCGACATCAGTTTTGATATTCATGATTTAATATCACCCCAGTTAATAATCAACAGTTAGGCCTACAGACTAAGCTAGATTGGGAACTGTTTAGAGAAGCAGTCTTAACTAGTGATGGGGACGAGACCGCCTATGCCGAGTCCGAGTCAAGACCGAGTCTTTGAAGGGTCGAGTCCGAGTCGAGACCGAGTCTTTGAAGGAACAAGTCCGAGACGAGTCCGAGAAAGCAGAAATCGGTCTCGAGACCGGACTCGAGTACTACATCACTACATCTGGGGTAAGGAAGTGAAAAAGGTATTTCCTTCATTACGCCCCGACTCAATCTCACTTCTATACAGCTTCTGATAAAAACCAACTGCTCTCCTTCGGATATCAACAGGGTCTATTAACAACCCCCCATTCTCAGAGCGCAAGGCTTGAATTACACGTTTTTGCCCATTTTTTTTTCTCAAGGCTGAAAAAGTATTTGGACGGTGCATCCATTTGAGCTATACTTTGAAATCTTGACCGGACCAGTGCCCCTTGTATTCTATATCCCAGTAGATCATCTAACCGGGCCTATTTCCTTAATCCAACTTCTAAATAGTACTTATCTCCAGTAGATTCAGCTAACTGTTGACATTTATTTATTTCAGTTTCTAAATTCTCCAAAGATCTTCTTATCTCTCTAGTTACGTTGTGAGTGTACTGCTGACAGAACTGTCTAATTTGAACCTTGCCAAAGTCCCACCACTGTTGTACTGATTGAAATTCGTTCTGCTTTGTATTTCTGTAATTCTCCCAAAAAAATTAAAAGAGTCCCTAAAAAACTTGTCACTCAGCAAAGAAATATTAAGATGCCAGTAAGCACTTCTAGGTTTGAGATAGTTTAAAATAAAACTACATTGCACCATTCCATGATCTGAGAACCCAATCGGAATAATTGAACATTTATTAAAAATATTAAGATGATGCTTAAACCCGTAAAATCTATCCAATCTAGCAAACGACATTACATTATCTCTTGCATGAAC